ATTTGAAGAGACGTAATTAAAAAAATCATCAAAGGTCAGAGAAGCCTGAGCATCAAATGGAAACATACAATACAAATCATCCGTTTTTACCATTGCAGCATCTATTATTATTGTTGTTTTATTTTATGTTTTTTTATTTTAACAAACCAAATGCATTTATGAAATATAATAAAGTACAACCTTTTAACTGTTTTTTTTTCCCCTCTAATAAAATCGTAGAAATGAATTAGCATTTCAGTTTGGCCTACAAATACCACTGGACACAATCTCATACTCTACTCAAACTCTCAAAGACTTCCCAAAGTGAACTACAGGAGTCCATGATGAGCTGATGAAAAGCTAAAACTAATAATAAAAAAAAAAGTAAAATTAACATAAATAATCTTAAAATAATAACAATAAAAACAATCATTAAAAAACACTTAAAAAATACTAAATGTTTTATTTGTTTATCTACATGTCATATTAACCAATAACAGAACAAATGTGTTGTTTCATTCAATATCAACTTAATATCTAATTGGTTAATTAAAGTTAATATTTTAGGTCAAACTAAAGGATTTGGGCTGACGAAAATGGTTGGGAATCACTGCTTTAATCAATCAGTTCTGTAATGCTGCCATCTCGTGGTCAGACTATGAACTGACAGATGGAAAGAGATCTGTTTAGTCATCGTGACTTCAACCACACAGTGACCAAGTAAAAATTATGTTGAGCAAAAAGAATATAAATATGTCAGGTTACAGTTGTTTTGAATGAGTCAAAGCTCTGATTCATAAGAATGAAACACCTTTAAACGATACATTCAGAGAAGAGGAACTGACCCGAAATTAATTTTGCTCTCTGATTAGAAACTTGTGTGAATATTTCCTTAATTTGAGCTGTTCTCAAGGCACATCAAAGTGCCATTTTCAAAATAAAAAGTTTACATTCTTTATCAGTGTCATAAGAAACGTCTCTTAAGTGTGTTGAATCACAGTAGTTTCGGCGTAGAAGCTCCCAGGTAAGTGCGCAAGTCTGCGATGTTAGATTTGATTATCTTGGCTGGTATGGATTTCATCTTTAACCTCTGATAGGCAGCAAATCGATGACATCCTCCAAAAGAGTAGTAGTAATTACCCCCCTTTTCTCCAGTGATCCAAAGCACGTCTATGGGAGGCACAACGGAGATATCTGCGCCCTCCTGGAAAAACAACGCAGAAGTTATGCAGTGAGCTCAGATATAATGGCACACTGAATACGCATATTTAAACGTTAAATGGAGTCAATAGTCTGAATTAACTGTTACCTGTATACTGCTCATGAGGCTTTGGACCTTCTGGTCATCTAGAACAGGCGGAATGGGTCGTATAATAACATCCATTGGGATGCTATGAATGTCCTGGATGTTGTCTGAATGGATGGAGCGGTTTTCTCTGCTTAAACTGCCCATGTTTCGCGTGAAAATCCCGAGTGGATTCACTCTTGCGGTCCCAACGTGCTTTCGGAAAACACCGCTCAGACTTTGAAACATCACTAGAAGCGTTCTTCTTCTTCTTCTTCTTCTGATGTTTATGGGCGGTTTTGGCAAACCAACTTAAAGGTGCATTACCGCCACCTACTGATCTGGAGTGTGGAGTGAACAGATTTGGTAGAGAGAAGGATATAAAAAAATAAAATATAATAATTTATATATATACCCAGTGTTGGGGAAAGTTATTAAAAGTAATGCATTACAATATTGAGTTACTCCCTAAAAAAGTAACTAAATACGTTACGTAGTTACTTTTTATGGAAAGTAATGCTTTACATTACTTTTGCGTTACTTTTTAGATATGAGCAGGGCTTGATTGTTTTTAATATAAATGTAACCACTATATTCAAATTATGAAGTCTGAAAAGAGTTTCATATATTTCATTAACTATGTCTTGCCTACCCCGGGATGAAAATGACTGTAACGATAATAACACTGAACTTGAATCTGAGCACAGAATAACTTTGTTTAGTTTAACTTGTTCTACCCAGTGCAGAGCTGCTGCAATTGCTATTAACTCAACTGTATAAACTGCCAGGTGATCTGATGTTCTCCTATTGACAGATACTTGTAAAGATGGAATGGTAGAAGTGTTCTTCTTCTTCTTCTTTAGGTTTTAACGGCAGCTTGCATCCTAGAAGTTGCATTACTGCCATCTTCTGGAATTACTCCTACACCGATTAAAACATCAAATCCTCGTCATCAGTCTTGTATTTTTAAGGAAGCAGAACAAATATTTCCTTCGTTGACTTTTTCTGCCACATTCTAATATGTCCTTTAGTCCATGTCCAGTTAGTCCTACACTTTCCATTTCTTTTATCATAATCTTTCTCTCAGTTTCATATTTCCTACACAGTAATCACACTATCAACTGTTTCCAAGGTTTGACACTGATCACAGAATCCATTTGGATGCTTCCCTATAATATGGAGTGTGCTATGTAATTTACTGTGTCCTATTCTTAGTTTGTTTATTACTGTTTCCTCTCTCCTATTTCCCCCCTTGCTTTCCACAATACCAACTCTTTTTTTAAACAAGTATAGATGTCTTCCTTTTGTTTCTTGATCCCATTGCATCTGCCATTCCTTAATAACTCTTTCCCAAACAATAGGCTACTCCCCTTCTGATCTCGACAGCTGTCTATGGTTACTTTTTAATCTGTCAACTCTCTCATTTCCCATTATTCCTCTATGTGCAGGAATCCACATTAATACAGCCTCTGCGGCGTTCTGCTTTATTCTCAAGTAAGTAACCATAATTTCATAGAGCAGCTCTTGATGGTTTCTGACCATACCTTACTTAAAGGGTTACTCCACCCCAAAATGAAAATTTTGTCATTAATCACTTACCCCCCATGTCGTTCCAAACCCAAAAGCTTCGTTCATCTTCGGAACACAATTTAAGATATTTTGGATGAAAACCGGGAGGCTTGACTGTCCCATTGACTGCCAAGTAAATAACACTGTCAAGGCCCAGAAAAGTATGAAAGACATCGTCAAAATAGTCCATCTGCCATCAGTGGTTCAATCTGAATTTTATGACGTGACAAGAATAGATTTTGTACACAAAGAAAACAAAAATAACGATTTTATTCAACAATTCGTCTCCTCCGCATCACCGTAGTGCCATTTTGGAGAATATCCACTGAACGTAAACTGCATATGCTGTTCTACTTGTCTGTGTCAGCCACACCACACGGATACGTTTTCTACATTTATTTATGCTTTGATTTGAACTAAAACAGTGTATCCGTGTGGTGCAGCTGACATAGAACAGCATACGCAGGTTGCGTTCAGTGGATATTCTCCAAAATGGCACTACGGTGATGTGGAGGAGACGAATTGTTGAATAAAATCGTTATTTTTGTTTTCTTTGCGTACAAAAAGTATTCTCGTCGCTTCTTCTTCATTCTTCATACTTTTCTGGGCCTTGACAGTGTTATTTACTTGGCAGTCAATGGGACAGTCACAAGCCTCCCGGTTTTCATCCAAAATATCTTAAATTGTGTTCCGAAGACGAACGAAGCTTTTGGGTTTGGAACGACATGGGGGGTAAGTGATTAATGACAAAATTTTCATTTTGGGGTGGAGTAACCCTTTAATAACGCTACACAAGGCAGACACTGAGTCACTTCAAATAAGAGTTTTGTTCACTTTATTTTGTTCAACCCATTCTAAAGCAATTAAAATGGCATACAACTCAACAGTATACACACTTAAATAGTCTGAGGTCCGCATCTCACACATTTGGCTGGGAATTACTACTGCAGCTCCTGAGTGTCCTGTAATTGGGTCTTTTGATCCATCTTTACTAGAAGTGGTTTAACCAGACAGCAGGGAAGTACTGTCTGCGCATGCGCGACTCGCGAGTAACTGCTTCTTGAAGCTTCAAAACCTTTGCGAATCATTTGTTTCGAAACAGTGGTTCGGAGCGCGTATCAAAAGGCTCGTTCGAGATGCATCGGCGCTGCGCAGACCGATCGGTGTATGACATCAAGTACCGCGAGAGCAATTCAAAAGCAGAGTCGTCTGCTCTCCAATCACTCTCGCGGTACTTTGATTACGCCGAAAACAAACAAAACAAACTCTGCAAATGAATAATAATTATTTTAAAAAACATATTATAGACACTTCACATTTAATGGTATTTTATTATTTAATGTAGGCCTATTATACTTTCAATAAAACAGTTGCAATGGTTTTGTGAAATGTTATTTGTAAAATGTTTTTTTATGCATATTTTGGCCTGAGTTTTTGTTGTATTTACACAGTTTGGACCAGCAGGCGTCACCAGGGTGTGGTGTTTCGAGCACTTCCTGAATCATTTTGCAAAGCAATTAGTTCAATTGATTGAGCAAGATAAGCCCCTGTTATAAACCTCTGTCTGTGCAAGATAATTAAAACCTAATAGTAAATGTATATATTTTGTAATAATAATAATAATGTCTTTCTTTCTTCAGTCGCAAAGAAATTAAGGTTTTTGAGGAAAAGATTCCAGGATTTTTTTTCCATATAATGGACTTCAATGGTGGCCAACGGGCTGAAGGTCCAAATTGCAGTTTCAATGCAGCTTCAAAGAGCTCTATGCGATCCCAGCCGAGGAATAAGGGTCTTATCTAGCGAAACGATCGGTCATTTTCTTAAAATAAATAAATAAATAAACATTTATATACTTTTTAACCACAAATGCTAGTCTTGAATCAGCTTGACTTCAGGCATTCATGTTGGAAAGGTCACGTGGAAGTAGGCGGAAGTACCGACCCAGTGTTTACAAAGCGAATGTGCACAGAAAGTAAAAAGCCCTTTACAAAAAAAAAAAAGGCAAAACACCTTTGTCGGGCGATTTTGAAGTTGGTGGAGAAAATGAGATTGAGTTTTTCGCCCTACCCTAAAATCAGTCACGAAACGTGCGGTCTTTATGAGTTTGAGTCACTGAATCATTCACTCAAATGATTCATTCAAAATACACTGATTCAATTTACTGGTTCAAAACAGTAAAACAATGACTGTGTGATTCAACGGTCTAGCTTTGCCTCTTTATTTTCGTCGGTGCGGCTACAGGACAAAGTAAGCGGCGATATTGTGTCTAAAATGTAAATTGCTTAATGTAATTTGTTTATTGAAGTTGTTGTATAAAATCAATATCATAATTGAATAACACGGCTGTGATTACTGCAGCACTCTTGCTCGTGTAGTATTGCTTAAATATGTTATAGATACAGTTAAAAATAAATGTTAGAGAATGAGCTCTCTGTCGTCAAACATACACAAACTCCTCACAAACTTATTTTTAGTTATAACAAAACGCTAATTGCTGCATATAACTGGCACAACAATGTATATTGGGTATACTGGACATTAGTACTTTGCACATTGCATGTGAGACCTGTTTTTATTCTGATTGTTTTTTATTTTAATTTTTTTGATAACATAATTCAAAATCTGCATATTTCTCTCTTTTTATCAGCAATGTAAAGATATTTCAAGTAACAACAACAAAAACATCTTTTCATACCTCTCACCTAGTGTCTGATGTCTGAATCCATTTTCTGCTGTTTCTGATTTTGTTTCTTGGCCAAAAAAGTCTTCCCAGAAATGATCAATCATTTGGTAAAAGCTAGCCTGACAACTTAACTATTGCCATATATCAAGAAAATCTACAACAAATTTGCCTCTGCAGTACACTGGACATTTGGCATGATGAGGAATGAGATCTGTCTACAGTAGTTGAGATTTTTTTGGAGCTAGGCTCACTCTGTCTCTCACTGTGGATCATTAATCGAAAGGAAAATGAACATTTGGATCTCTAAATGCTGTGAACTGATTCTTCTGACAGGAGCAGAAGGGACGTTTGGACCTACTGCCAGCAGGCTGTAACAGACAGATGGGTTTTCACACAAACAACAGAAAACATCAAGAGCAGTGAAGCTGGCACACACAGAAGAAGAAGCAGCAAAGGGGAGAAAGTTTGGATAATGAGGCACTGCTAGCAGGAGATGATAATTCACTTTGTGCTGTGAGAAGACAAACTGTCCACTCTGTGTAGAGTTCAACTCCATAGCTGCAAAGCCATATGGTGGGTTCACTAATAAAATTTAGTGAAATGTCTTAATTGTACTATGAGCACCATAAGGTGTATATAAATATGTATAGTGGTTTAAAGGAAATAACAATTAAATAAATAAATAAAAAATCACAGTGAAATGGAAGCAGCGACAGATATTTTCTTTTGTATTGCAGATGAAGCAGATTATTGAAAAAGAAAAATACTTGTAGGGCAGAGACTTGGTTTTATTCTTCAGTTACTGATTGGATGGCGGCAGATCTGAAAGTGAGCTTGCAGTAAATATTTACATGGGCAGAGTTTAAGGAATGAATTGTTCACAAAAGGATCGATAACTAGCATTTGTAAAATAGATTTATTTCATGCCACCAAATTGTTGGTCACTTGACAATCTTGTTATCGCAAATAAATCTCATTGGCTCTATTTTTAATTTTTACAAGAACCTTCAGTAGAGACTAATATTGTTACTCTCGATTGTAGGATATTCTGTACACAAAGTATGATCTGACTGAAGTGAAATATAATAACCAGCAGATGGCGGGCAAGCGTCAGAATCCTGTTGATATCAGAACCACACATCAATGAAGTTTTGCAAGCAAAGGACAATACCAAGTAAGTACTGACATCCAAATATGCAGCACAAGTCATTATCAGTCAATAACAAAAATAATGTGGTGATACCATGTGATGGCATCAGATATTGATGCTGTGGTACTATCATACACCATGACATTTATATGGCACATGCACAGAAAATGACGGCATTGCCGTAAAACTGTCCAAAAAAAAAAAGCAGCTAGTAAATGGGCACTCAAAAAATACATTTGTTGTAGTTTCCATGCTCCACTATATGATGACTTCTGCTTCTGAGAACCCCAGAAATGTGAAAATAGTACAGGAGAGATGTTTTTTGGCAACAGACTGGTGTAGTTACAATATCTCACCACCAAAGACCGGGACCAAGAAAGACCATAACCCTTTGATGGAACACTTTACTAATAAGTTGTTTCAAATAACTCTTGTAACATGAGAAGTGTTGGGAGGCCTCTGGGAGCAGGATTGAGAAACACTGCAGTATCATTCTGTTGGTCAACTTCCACATCAACAAGTGAGGGTGAGTCAGGGGAGCTCTTATCTCTTAAAGTGTAATTAGTAACTACTGTAGCTTACTAAATGCATCCATGCCCAGAGCACATGCATACACAGTTTTGCATATACTGTTGACACCACATGGATTTCATCTTATGAAGGCACTCGAAAACTGGGATTTTCTTTTTACACTGTTCTATTTTCTTGTTTTAGGATCAATGATAGCAAATTAAACCTCAGCGTCATGTGCCGGTAAAGGGTAAAGCTCAGTAGGACAGCGTGTTATCAGGGCTCTTCACTGAGAGTTGAGTGGTTTAGGGTTGCATGTTCAATATTGCAGATGATGGTGTTTAATAATTAATTCTTATGAAATCTAATGGCAGCATCACCACACTGAGACTTCAGTTACACTGACCTCTTTATTCACAGTGATATTCACTACTAAACCTGGAGCAATGTTATATTCTTTCAAAAGGAAACCATGTTAATATGTACAAAATATAGGTCTCTGACTATGTTTAAAATGTATGTGTCGTGTAATGAGTGAAATTATTATTATGTAGGTTTTACATAGCGTTACAGTTTAAAAATTAAATCTAATTCAATTCAAATCTACTATATGGATTCTAGTTTCTAGTACCCACAAAAACAAACTGATGTTAGTTAGTTGTATTCTTTTAAGTTGCTTAGGACTTCTTAAGGAAGAAATAAAAGGCCTAACCTAAATCAAGATGAATACAATTTTATAAAACCAATTTTATAAAACCAGTATGGCTTTGTTACGCCAATAAAATTTCAACTCTACATAAGAAATACAGTCATAAAAATGATAGAACCGTAATCAGTATTGGTCTGAACATTGGCTCAGGGTTTAAATTTATAAGTTGATATTAAGCTAAATGTTTACTAAATGTGACCATAGATTAATCATTTTGTACTAACTAACAACTGTAACAGTTTGTAACCAAGCATTTGATATTGTCAGGGACCAAATCAGTCATCGAAAAACAAATTGATCACCCACTATTCTGACTGTTTTTTTATCCATTAGTGTTTATGGAAGTTATGGCTCTGCCTGTACATGAAAGTAGTAAACCAAGAGCCAAACTTATACTGTATTTACATTTTTAGAAGCACCAGTTAATAAATATAGCAATTCAATTCAAGTTTATTTGTATAGCGTTTTTCACGGTACAAATCGTTGCAAAGCAACTTTACAGCAAATTAAGTTTCTACAATATTTAGTGGTAGCTTATCAGTGGTGACTGTCAGTTAATGTACATATGGCAGAAATGTACAGAAAAATCAATTAAAGACGTAATCAAACAGACGATGAACACTATTAACAGCAATTATTATATGATGCAATCAAACTTATAGCAAAATGTGGTAGTTCTGTATGTTGTTTCAGGGTTGGCATCATCTGAGGTCCTCTGAGGGGTTGGCATCATCTCTTCTCAGGTGTTCTGGATCCAGACTGAAGCTTGTGTAAATCCTAGTTACCACGGGATGTCAATCCCATGGCAAAAACAGAGAAACAAATAGAGACATAATTAGCGTAGCTGCTGTTCCAACTTCCAACCAAGCAAAATGTATTTGTTTAACCCAAAACATTTGATCAGCATTTGATCAGATATAACTGCAGTACAAGATTATGAGATGCATTTGCAAATTGTAATCCAAGAGATTCTGTGTACTGTCTTTTGGTCCAATAAGTAATATCTCTGTCTTATCCGAATTTAATGTCATCTATTAAATCAATCGGTCAGGCAGAAACCAAAGCCGAACTAAAACACTGTAGCTTGCACTCATGTGTGACTGCACCATAAGGACTGCCCTAATTTCATTGTACTTGTATAGTGACAATTAAGAATCTTGAATCTTGTAGGACAGTTAAGGACATAATGGTCAATCGTGTTTCCGGTTTCTTGGACATCAGTCCTCCTCTGTCCTGATGACAGTCTCTTTCCCTCAGCATCAGTAATCAGTCTCATTCAGCTCTGAGTGCTGCATCTTGGTAAGACCAGAGTGTAACATAAAATCAATGTTTCATTAACATTTAATGGCTTGGACTGGCTTAAGAGCACCAGGACAAATGCATGTGCACCAGGTTTCAGAGTAGCTGCTGACTTGATTACAGTTTAGATGTTCTTCTGGTGATAGTTATAGTACTGATGCTTGTAAGCAAGGCTGATCCCAAATCAGCAGCGCCATCGCTGAGATGGGTAGTCATTGTCAGGGAGGAACACAGGAAGAAGTCGATCATTCATTCTGATTTGTGACTGTAGTCTTGTGTTTGTGATCAGAATTTATGTCCGCCCTACAATAAGAAGTACAGACTACAAGCCGGAACATACAGTTCTACTAATGCAGGGGTTTTATCCCATGAGTGGGATCTCTTAAAGCATCTATATACACTTTCAGTGTACGTTCTCATGTTTTGTATTTGAGAGAAAGCAAAACATTTAGTCAATAAAAAAGAGGCAACAGACTGCTTGTGCTATTGATTTTATTGTTCATAAACATCACTATTGGCTTTACCCTTCATAACAGGCAAAATGTAATATCAGAAGTTGAAAAATCTTTATGTTTTTACACAGGGAGGCAGGAATATAGAGAGAGAAGGCAAGGGAAAAGAAGAGAGACAATCTGAAATCTCTCAAGGACCATATGGAGGGCTGTGAGTTGCCTACCATATGCTGAAGGCTTTTGTCATGGAAATAACTCTTTATTTTTTTGGCACTTCATATTATTGTTCAGCCAGGCTGGGCACTTCCACAAAAGGAAAAAAAAAAAACAGGAGAGAAAAAGAGGGACCGAGACAAAGAAATATGGGTAGATCCTGGTGAACAGAGAGAGAATGATTAGCATTGTTAATATTGCTGGTAGCTACAGCAGGTAATGAGCTAATGAAGTCCCTGATCCTGTTCAGCCTGTCCAGGGTTAAACGGCTCAGAAAAGGTAAAAGCAAAGGGATCGGCTCGCATGCGGTGTCTCATTATTGCTGAGATCTATATACACACGTATTTACACTTGTTTCAGGAAAAACAGGGGAAAAAGCTTTCACTTTCTCAGTCTCTTCAGTTGTCTCACATTTCTGAACATTTGTGGAAAAATTATTTTTTTCAAAACAAAGAGATGGTGGTAGTCCTTTGGAATAGTGTTTAAAAGAGCTCATCTACAATACACCAAGCATTGCATAATTAAAATTGACTCTGAATTCAAGCCTTATTACAATGGAAAATATCCAGATGGATATTCATAACAGATAGTCTGTTGATTCTTCACAGCTGTGGGTATGTCAAAAATATGAAGGGATGATTTAGAAATAAAAGCAGGATGAATGTCCATTAGGGTCAGAAATTAATTAGGGTTTGGAGCAAAACTGCCACAAAATGTACACCAGATATTTAAAAAGAGAGGACACAGATTTCTACACAATATATCTGTTAGATAACATTTGTGTATTTTTCATATACGCTACCATTCAAAAGTAAAACTTTTTAATGTTTTTAAAAGTCTTTTATGCTCACCAAGGCAGCATTTATTTGATCAATAATAATGTAAAAATGTTTTATTGTGAAATATTATTACATTTAAAAAACTGTTTTCAATTTAATATATGTTCAAATGTAATTTATGATGGCAAAGCTGAATTTTCAGCAGCCTTTACTCCAGTCTTCAGTGTCACTTATTATGAATGTTGAAAACAGTTAATATTGCTGCTTAATATTCTTGTGGAAATGGTGATACTTTTTTTCAGGATTCTTTGATGAATAGAAAGATTGTTTATTTGAAATAGAAATCTTTTGTAAAATTCTAAATGTCTTTTAGAATTTTTTAGAAAATTTTATGTTAACATTTTAAACTGTGATCATTCTATCAGTGATCAAGTATTTTTTTTTTTTGTAAAAATGTTCTTGAAAATCAATTCCAGAGGGTGCATTTTTAATTTTAATAGTTGTTATTATATTTCTGACTGTCCATCAGCAATGAGTGTGGAATACCATGCAGAACGCTGCTTGGACACGTTGAGACACAGTGTGCCAATGTACGAGGTCAGGAATGGGTGGAAAAGAGGTGAAGAGCAGAAGAAAAGTGGGAGGAGAAACTCATTATCTATTCCCCGCAGGTTTTGGCCCATTACTGAGATTGTGCCGTCCTTTTTACAATATGCAAAACGCTGACAGAGCCTTTGGCTGGTGCTGCTCGACCTTCTTCACAAGGTCAAACTCAGACTCAATTATGCTCTCAGACTACTGTCTGTCCACCAACACCTGTTAACCCTTTTTGGTGGAGTGGACACAGCTTCTATTCAGTTTGTCATGAGCTGCATCATATATGCTGATGCATTTTGTCCTATGCAAGGTTTCATTCCTCAAGATGGAGCTAAATTTATTATTAATATAAAATAAGCAGATTTGTTTCCTATTTTTCTGCTTCACAGGAGAGACTGCAAAGAGGCAGCTGATTTACACTTCACGTTCTGATTGCACTTCTCATCCTTTCATCTCCAAATATCCTTCAGATCTTTATTGTATAGGTGGCGGCACATTGGCACCATATGCTCAGCTATTTCCATCAATGCTGCCATTAAGCCTCTATTTTGTTTAATCTCTGTTCTGAATCCAGCACTCCTTTCACCCAAACACTGAATAATCCATCCTGATTGGCCATTCAGGGGGGTCATTATTTCTAGGTCTAGGATTTGGGACTCCTATTTCACGTCACTGACACTCTGTTATGTTCATGTCATCGTCTGGCGGCCGCAGCTTATGATGGGATTTATTTGGAGACAAATTCATGAAATATGAAATATGTCATGCTGTGGGTTAGTCTTTTTATAATTGCATTCAAAACTATTGCTGAGACATAAGACTGTGATAATAATAGTAAAAATTCTGTTAGAAAAAGGTTTATTGCTGCTGATTTTCTTATTAAAATGTCATTTAAATTTGTAAGTACAAAAAGGACAAGCATTTTAATATCTGTCGAGTTCAATTTGCACTTTTAGGGATTAATATATTGTAATGTAAAAGATTTCTCGATTACTAAATTGTTTGGCATCTGGCAATGAGATGAATTGTGATGTTACAAATGTGGGTGGAGTCACACATACACACCATATGTAGACATTCTGGATGGTCTTAGTAGGAAATGGAGTTCTAGAAACGACGAAATGGAGAGAATGACCTTTGAGATAGTAAGGAGGATTTTGTTTATTGCCCTACATTGACTGCTAACAGGACAGCTGTGATTATACAAGTTGCTGTACCTAAGAAGAATTATTGCCCATTAAACAAAGCATCATCACCTGAATTCATCTGCTTTCAAACACTGCATACCGTCCCTCTCGAAAAAGAATAAAATCCCTCTACAGCGGAATCATGCATATAAAGATTTTCATTAAAGAGCAGCATCTTAAAAGGTCAACGGCAGTTCAGTATCCAATGACACAGAGGATAATAAACCAAATAAATAAATAGATAGATAGTTACATAAATAAATAAATACACATGAAATAAATAAGAAAATGAAAATAGTGCATAAATAAATACATAAATATTCAACAACAATACTGGAATGGTAGAAATGAGGTTTGTGTGATGGGGCGCTTTGAGAGCATGGACAGAGCAGAGGTTAGAGGTCATACCTGCCTCTGGGTGAGGTAATCAAGGAGCAGGAAGACAAGGGGCGGAGCTCCAGGCATCTGGAGCACATGCAGTCTGTTTTAGTGTGAGGAAGCCCAGCAGAGCGAGCAGAGATCTGCTAAAGATGTTGTTGAAAGTCCCTGTCGTCCGTATTATGAGTGTTTCGAATGTTTGGAGATTATTGAAATGTTTAGTCTTGAGTGCTGTTTCCTCCATATGGTAAACAGAGTGATGGTTGCTCTGCTCATATAGTTACAGGACATGATTGGCACAATAAATAAATAATGGAACCAAGAAACTGCAGGAAACTTTGAATATAAAAATAACAATTATAAATAAAATACCAAAAGTGTAACAAAAGTTTGTACCTTTTCAGAGGTCTACAATCTTTTTGTTTAGTTTTTTTTGCAAATACTGTCATTATTCACATTTTCATAAAAAGTTTGTGTTGGCAGTTGCAAAAGAATTCAAAATAAAAGAGCAGCATAAAAATACAAATTGATTTCATTTCTCAAAAAGCACAAACCTGTTGCTGTCATTTTTTTGTCTTTTTTCACGATTTGCTATAAAACATCAGGAATCTAAATATTATTACTATCGTTATTAATAGTATTATGTTCATAAAAATGTGCATGCCTGGCCTCATAATTAATTGTACTATAATTGTCTATATGAGAGGGTCTTTTTTTACCAAAGAAAAAAATCCAGCATCTATTCATTATTGTCTTCTTATTATTGGGTTGGTTTGGTTTTTTTCTTGGTCAAAATATTGCTTTCTAAAAAAGGGAAAGTGGGGTCTGTGAAGGGAGTCTGTGGGGGGATTTTTGAGAGCGTTAACTCATCTTCATTTCTTCTTTTTGCTAATTCTCGGAGCCAGACTCGTCCTCATCTCCAGAGCCTCTGAAGCAGGCGGACTCGTAGTGCTTGTTCAGGTAGGACTTCAGCGCGAAGGTCTTATTGCAGCGCTTGCAGCTGTAGTGTTTGAAGGCCGAATGTGTCTGCATGTGCGCTCGTAGGTTGGATCGGTCGGCGAAGGCTTTCCCACAGTGGGCGCAGGCGAAGGGTTTTTCTCCCGTATGCGATCGCATGTGCCCCTGAAGCAGCCAGGGCCGACTGAAGGATTTGCTGCACACGTGACATTTGTGCTTGAGGTCGTGAGTGAGAATGTGCATGGCCAGCGCCGGCATGGACACGTAAACCTTGTCGCAGGTGGGACACTTGCGTGCCATCTTGCTGTCAAGGCTGCGGTGGGTCTGCTTGTGTCGGCTCAGGTTGGATGAAGTGGCGTAGGTCTTTCCGCATTCGTTGCAGGTGTGTCGGGGACCTCCGTTGTTCACCGCGGCCACTTCTTTCTCCTCGACAGTGGCGGCTTTCCTTGCTTCCGTGACCTCTCCCTTTCTCCTTGAACGCCCGTCAGATATGAAGAACGCATCCATGGTGTAGCCCTCGCTGAGAGATTCGCTCTCGCTGCTGAAGTATCCGCGAGCCGTGAGGCCGGACTGAGGGCTGTCCGGGTGCTCCAGGTCTGGTTGGCAGTACTCCCCTCCTCCGCTGCTGACTGGGGAGTACAACGGATCCGAGCTCAGCTTCATGTCGGCCTGCTTCTCCTCTGTGCATTCAGAAGAGCTGATGTAATCCTGGATGTAGCCTGCAGCAGGACAGAGGACATGAATAGGTTATTAACTCATTGACCTTTACTTGCACACTGAATTCCAGGTGTAAAGTAATTAAAGATGCAGACAAATTACACTACAGACACAATGACAATATCAGACACAACAAAATAGAAGTAGAAGTGCAATGACAAATACACTCTTGAAAATAAAGGTTATTTATTGGCATCTTTGTTTCCATGAAGAACCTCTAACATCCATGGAACCTTTCCATTCCACAAAAGGTTCTTTATTATTACAAAAGTTTCTTTAGATTATTCAAATGTTCTTCACACATAGGAAAAAATAGTTCTTTTAAGAACCGATCACTGAAAGGTTCTTTCAGGAACCCAAAATGGTGGTTCTATGGCATTCTATGCTGCAAAGGTTCCTCTTTTGGAACCTTTATTTCTAAGAGTGTAAACACCTGTTTTAGTGATAATTTCCTAAAACACCTTGCATTATCTCTTTCCTTTTGCACACCATAACAAATACATTCAAAGTTTTTGTTGTAGGATGGAAATCTTTGTTTTAAATGGTAAAATAATATTGGAAACCAACTATATTTTATGCTATTCCCTATGGAAGTCCATTTCTGCCTGTGATTTATTTAAAATTGCCAATTACCTTTTTACTTGTTTATTTATTAATTAATTTTTACTTAATTTGTGATAATTTGGCTTTTCTCAATTGCGAATTTGTTTTCACAATATGAACTCATAGCTCACATTGGTGACTTTATATCTCAAGTGAGACTTTATATTTCATAGCATGGCTATATATCTCACAATTGTGACATTATTTCTGATTTTAAAGTTCTTTATTTTTAACTATGAGCTGCAAATGGGCTTCCATAGTTCCTGGTGGCTGTTAGAGGACTACTGCATACCTCATTCATTTAAGTGTGTGTGTGTATGTGTGTGAGATTGTGACCCAAAGGGTTTTAACATGGTTAATGGCTAATTAAGCAGGTTGGCTGTGGTGGAGGCATAAGTGTCTCTCTTTCTCTCCTTAAGATTAAGAAGCCACTCAGACTCTCTTTTGCTTTGATAAGATTATCCAAGGGCTTCTATAGAGTTTTGTGTTTATTCGTCCATTATGCACAACATAATCTGTTTAAAGTGGAAGTAAAGAGAGGTTGACATTATGGATGTATTTAAACTGTTTTAAGGAAATCTGGACTTTACAAAACACTTTCACTTCTGTCAGAAGAGAACCAAAGCTCTTTCCCAGATTTCATAACATTGAAATTGTTCCAAACATTGAATTGTATTACAAATGTATTTCTTAATACAGGGCATCTTATTACCATGCTATCTGCTGAAGCATATTAACTCCCTCCTAAATTCTCTAAACTGATTATGGAGCCCTCTGACCATGAAGAGCGAGTCTTAATGCATCGTGAGGAGCTGCTAAAAGGATTTCTGGCAGCCGTAGGGTTCAGACGCGTTTATTGCCATTGGAATTTCACCGACATAATACACCTTCCAAGGTGCCATGTCTTCAACAAAATGTTTATAATTAAATCTGTGTGCTAAAAGGGAAACCCAAACAGCATTTAATGCAGTGCTAGTTATACAGTGAGACTGTAGACAGCAGTGAGCAGTAAGGATACAGCTGGCCAGGAAAAAGATCAACAGGATCAGTAGAGAGACTGAGAGGATGTTATTTGGGATGTATAACTGCATTGTCTACACATTGTCCACGGCTTAGGGGTTTTTCATAATCATATTTTCTGTCAGAACAGCTGACTAGGTATTGTTATGCTACAAAAATAAAACTCTGGTATTAGCCAAGAAAGAATGAAAGGCTTGCACTGTTTGAATAAATAGTGTGAATATGATTATAACCATAATATATGAAAGAATAAAGTTCACTGTGCTCAACTTTAGTCTAGGGTGCGTAGATCAATCAACACATCATATTCTAGTAAGGGAGAAATCTACATCAAAACCATCAACATAAATTAAAGTGGGGAACGAGCCGACGCATCAGGCCACCAGCCGTTCATTAGTCCGTATCGTATCACCCACTGTAGCAAACAATAAAGGGTTAAACAACTTATTAATTCTTAAAGAAACCAAGAAAGATCAAAGTCCTCATTTAAACCCAAGAGAGACAGACCTTTTAGTCGATAATATCAGTATTCAACGTTTTATGTTTAATATATCAAAACATTATTTATGCATTTGTAATTGCAGGTTAAATGCATTCATGTCTTGCATTAAAAAAAATACATGTGTGTAAATATATCTAAATGCCACTTCAGATGCAGCATCTGTTGATTTAATTTGCTTGGTAACAGCCCAAATATCTTATTATTCTAATTCCCTGATTAAATGTAAGAATTTGACTCAAAAGATAATGGACACTTCTAGAAAAAATGAATTTGCTTGGTAACAGCCCAAATGTCTTATTATTCTAATTCCCTGATTAAATGTAAGAATTTGACTCAAAAGTTAATGGACACTTTTAGAAAAAATGGCTTTATAAAGGTAAAACTGCCCATAACATGCAAAAATCAGTTTAAACTTATTGGAAAAGATTAATTTCTATCAGTATGAACTGACCACCACACAGAATATGAAGAATATTAAAAACATTAGGAGTCAGCTGTCTTCGGCAGTCCTTAAGGTACCAGCACAATAACACACTCAGGAAAATATCGTCTAATTATCGTTATCGATAAAATCCCAGAAAATATCGAGATATAATTTTTTGTCAATATCGCACACCCCTAGCTGGAGACTCGTTTTTCTGATGTAAATAAATGGGCATGGACATTTTAACATATAAATCACATTAGATGTAGAGCAGGTAATTAAAGATTTAATGAAAAACATTCTACCAGAATGTACATCGCTAAATTGATTGGTTTTTGTTATCGATGAGCAGGCGGCACAATTCCAACAGGGAAAACAACCTTTTATAAATGTTTTAGTCTTGTCAGTATAAATATCAGATTTTGCCAGTCTATTGGCTATATTATTTGATCTTTTGTAAATAAACAAAGGAGAATTTTTAAAAATATCACCTAAAGAAGGGTCATTGA